AAGCAGTGGTATCAACGCAGAGTACTCTCAACAGCGGCGATGAACACAGTGTTTGTTGTACAAGCCACATGACTGATATGACCTATGCCTTCAGGGTGGCGCAATTAACTAAAGCTCCAGGCATGTTTACAGGCAACGCTACCAAGCTGGCTGGTATGTTTGAACGATGCACGAAGCTGACAACCCCCTATCCATATGACACCCGCAAGGCTGTCAGTTTGGTAAACATGTACTACGGCTGCACCTCGCTGCCAAGCAGATTCCCATATACAATCGACTTGTCAAATGCGGCCATTCCTAGCGGAGTAGCGGATATGTTCAGCGGTTCGAGTGTGAATATGGTTAAGGTTAAAGGAGTGCCAGTGGGCTCTCTGAAAAACTACCTTGGAAGCAATGTAAATGTCAGGTATGAAGGCGATATAGTTGCGACACCAGAGAAGTACAAGGTCAGCGACCTCTTCCCAGATACCTACATGACAATGACAACCCTTCCTGATATAGACATATATGACGTCCAGAACTTAGATGGCTTCTGCATGAATTGCGTTAGTCTCACCACTATACCTTGGACTATCGACCTGGGGAACGTCAAGAGCTACAGGAATATGTTCCGAGGCACTATGGTCAGCAGCGTCAAAGTCAAAGGCGTCAAGTATGGTGCTCTGGATGGTACATGGGTGTCCAATGTAGGTGCTGTCAGTGTCGAATACCTCGATTCTGCAGGTAATAATCTGCCACGACCAACGGTACTCAGCAGCTCCAACTACAAGATGAGTCAATTGTACCCAAGCACTTATACCACTATGAGGAGAGTCACTGAGGCTATAGATACAAGTTACCTGACCACCATGAAGGAAATGTTTTATGGTTGCGCTGGCCTTACAGTAGTTCCAGAAATGGATACATCGAAAGTTACTGACATGAGTTTCATGTTCTTTAACTGTACTGAGCTCACTGAAATCCCATGGGTGATTGACATGAGCAGCTGCAGTCGCTATGACTATATACTCAGCAATACTCGCGTTTCAAAGCTGAAGGTCAAAGGCGTGGCGCTGGGAAGTCTGTATGAAAAGATTCCTTACAAATACGGCAATGTTCAAATTATCTACTTCGATTCAAATGGAGTCGGGTATGATGCTATACCAGACGAGAACGGCGGCGTTACTATTTTCAACACGTTCCCAGTGGAACTCACTAATGAAAATCATGAAATAGCGAAGTTGGTTGGCAATAAGAAGACTACTTCAATACCGGAAAATTATATCGGCTTTGATGAGCTTACCGATATGAGCTATATGTTTGCTGATTTGACTGGCCTTACTACAATCCCTAAGTTAGAGACCTCAAAGGTTACCGACATGAGCGGCATGTTCTACGGCTGCAGCAATCTTTACAGGATACCATGGGCTATAGACTTCTCCAGTTGTACCAACTATGAAAACATGTTTACTGGTACTCACGTTAGTTCAATCACAGTAAGAGGTGTTGACCCTGGCACTTTGGATGGTGTATTTACCAGCGAAGTAGGAGTCGTTAATGTTGAGTACAACGGTGAATTTATTGATAAGGACAGCAAGATTCCAGTAGTGCTGACTAACGAATACTACAAGATGAGTCAGCTCTACCCAGAGACTTATGTTACCATGACTGAAGTTCCTAACCTTCTCGACACAACACAGCTGACACATCCACTTGGTATGTTTGAGGGTTGCGAGTGCTTGGTGGAGGCACCAGAGATGGACGTATCAAGAATGACAAATCTGGCTTACATGTTCAAAGGATGTTCGAGTCTGGTAGATTTGCCACCATACAAATTCCGTTCAAACGTGCTTTCTCAGATGTTTGAAGGTTGCACCAGCTTGTCTGAGGTTCCATGTATATTTGAGTTTAGTGGCACTCCGTCACCATCTGTACTGTCAGGAGCGGGATTCAGTGACACTCAGGTTACTCAGATTAAATTGAAGGGCGTTCCACTCGGCTACTACAGCGATACTTCTATTTCAAGTACTGCTGGAGAAATAGAAATTGTTTACTGTGACGAATACAACATTGGTTGGAAGAAACGTGTGGAAAGTGGAATCGCAACTGTAGACAAATCAAATGCACCTGCTACCCTGATTGATAATGACAATTTTGCGGTTAGCGGCGACTATATTGTCAGCAAGAAGGCTAAGGGAGTAAATAACGGAACCAGCTATGGTTATATCGAGTTTAAAACTCCAGAAACACTGGATTCGAGTTGTGATGTTGTTGTTCAGTGCTACACTTCAAGTGAAAGCACCCGCGACTATGGTGGTATTTACGTCGGCAAGAGCATTTATAAGCCGACCCGTACTCAAATAAGTAACAGAATGAACAATGGCAGCGATGCAGGTTCCTTTATGTATACTGGAACAGGTTCGGGCTCTTTATCGACTTACACATACAGCTATAACAAACTGCAACCAGACGCCACATACTACCTGTCATTCGCTTACGCAAAGGACAACATTGGCAACAGCGGCAGCGATGCACTTTTCATTAAATCAGTGAAGTTCCCTTACGAGAAAAACATTGAAGGTATAGTTCCTCTAACTCTGACAAATGAAAGGCATGAGCTGGCAACAATGATTTCTCTGGAAATACCTGAGATTCCTGAAGGTTTGATAGAGACCAGCGTACTCACAGACGTAAGCAACATGTTCGCAGGACTTAGTGCCCTTACATCAATTCCAAAAATCAACCTTGATAGCGCAACTAATATGTCAGGGGTATTCAAGAATTGCTCTAACCTCACTTCAATACCAGAGGTTGATACATTTAAGGTAACTGACATGAGTAGTATGTTTGAGGGCTGCAGCAAGCTGAAGGAAATACCTTGGGCTATCAACTTCAGTAACTGTACCAATTTTGAAAACATGTTCAAGGGTACAAACATAGGTAACATTACGGTTCGCGGCGTTCAGGAAGGTAGCCTTGATGGAGCCTTTACTAGCAATGCTGGTACTATCACTGTAATCTATGACACTGTTGATTGGGAGGCTATCAGGGAAGGCTACTGGTCTAGCGGCGACTACAGTGTAGATTTAACTGGTGTGAAAACGATACCACCAAATGCATTATCGAAGGATGCACTTATTGCGAGCAGGCCAGCTGGCAAGACTACAGTTCCAAGCGTGATTGTTCCAAAGAACGTAGGAGAAATTGAAAAAATAGGTAGTTACGCATTCTTCGACATGCGTGTAGATTCTAGCTCGGCAGAGTATGTTACCCACCAATATGTGACATCCGCAAACGAGTATAAGTATTTCGATGCACTTGGCATAGAGTTCAGTTCCGTGAAGGAGATTGGAGAATCAGCGTTCGAGCGTGTGAGGACAGACAGTAGTTATCTATATAAAGTCACCGAAGCTCGAACTAGCTTAGCCACTGCTTCAGAGGATATTTGTCAGAAGGAAGATAACCGCTTGGCACTTTCATTCCCAGTTATTAGAAAGATTGGCAAGCGCGCATTTGCCAATACCTCTCATGCTAAGGTATTCTTTGGTGGCACACTTAAACGTGACGCAAAAAATACTATAAACTACACTGTACGCCAATGTGCTACAGATGCATTTGAAGGGATATACAACCCAAAATATTATTATGGAGGCACCGGTACCATATATTACACGATATACATATATAGCATTGAGGAAAAGGAATGTTTAGTCGGCCCTGGTGTTGTACAGGGTACATTACCTAACTTTGAAGACCCACCTGAAGAAAGTCCAAACACAATAGCCTTGACAGATGAACGCTACAAAATGAGTGACCTCTATCCAGAAACCTACGACACGATGACTGAGGTTCCAGATAAGTTGGATACAAGTAAACTTACTACAACCTACGGAATGTTTGAAGGCTGCGAGTGCTTGGAGACAGCGCCTGAAATGGACCTCTCCAACGTGACGAATACCTCAACGATGTTCTCTGGCTGTATCTCTCTCAAGAGCTTCATCAACAAGACGACGAAAAAGGTATCGAATTTCGAGGCAATGTTCATGGACTGCGAGAGCTTGCAGACCTGCGACATGGACTACAGCTCTGCGACTAAGGTGGCCCGCTTATTCAGTGGCTGCTGCGAACTTGGTGGCTTTGAAAACAAGCTGCTCGACTGGAGAAATGTCACTAGCTACACGTACGCATTCTACGATACGGAGGTTCCTTACATTAACGTAATCGCACCAGACGGTGTTACCTTCAGCTCGATGCTGAGGGACAGGAGCAATCCTCTGGATGTAAACTACTATGACACCAACGGAAACAAAATAAGTTAACAGCTAATTGGGGCCCACGTGGGTCCCAATTTTTTAGGAAAAACAGAATCAAAAAAAGCTCAGTTTTACCTGAGCTTTCAAAGTATAATCAATCATCGTAGTGTCTATAGTAGTTGTCCCAATCGTCGTCGTCACCAGAGCCGGCTACATCAGGGTCGAAACCACGTGTCCATGGCATATCATCGTCATCATCATCGTGGTAATTATTACGGGGCTTAGTTGCAGTGTTTTTTCTAGCAGCAGCATTAAGCATTTCCTGTGTGATAAACACATCTGATTCTTCTTCGTACCTTGTTGTACGACCACTTTCACTTTTAGGCCATATCATAACTGTAGTATTAAGAGGAATACGATGCAAATCCATTGCATGATATAATTTCATGTCACCAAGCTGTGTTGGCTTACCCAGGAGATTATATTCGTCATCAGACACCATCTCAGGTCCACGAATATCGTAAACATTACCATCTAGTATTCTATCAAATTCATCAAAGTATTCTGAAAAGAACGCAATCATTTTAGGTATACTGTTCAAAATAATCTTACCATCCCATCGTCCATTTGGACGCAATAAGACATTGAGAGTATAGAATATGTCGCCATAAGATACTACATTAAATAAAGGTTCTCTGAATCCTGCTCTCATAAAGAAATTAGAACATTTATCACTCATGACAGCCATTTTCATATTCCAACGATGTAACTGCTCTTTACTGTAGTATCCTCGTACTTGTGCTAAACGTATTTCTATTGCATTTTGACTAGGGTAGACAAATACGCCACATTCGCCAGTTGCACCGCACTGGTATTTTCCAATCAGTAAACTATGATCACTATCAATAGCATAGTATTTTGCCAGGTTTTCATTAATCAACGCCTGACAAAAAATATCATAATTAGAATACATAATATCTTCTCCTTTTTACTCGCATACAGATGTTTGGAGCACCCTGTTTTAGGGGCTACTGTATTCTTTAGGTGTTCATTAATTATTATATCATATATTGTATTCAAAAATAAGTTTTAGAAAATTATGTAACATACTAAAAACGAGAAATCACTTCGTTAATTGGGACGTCATCCCTGATTAGAATATCCACATCTTTATCTACAGGTGTGGATTAGTGAGATTATCGGAAGTCATATTTTTTATAGAAAAAGGCCGCTACGCTTTTTACGTAGCAGCCTTCAAGTCTATTTATGCAACTAACTTTAGTTTGTTATACTCTCTGACAATTATTTCTTTCCAGTCGGAGCTACCCATATTATGCATGACAGCCCATCTGGTTTTTGGATTTCTTACCATATCAGTGAGCTTACAAGACTCTATCATGAATGGAATTTCACTAGAAGGATATCCATCATCCAAGAGCAGTCTAACCAGCGCCCACTCGTAATACTGTTCATCAGTGAGCCCCTTTAGTGCAATCACGAAATCTTCCGACATAATATCACTCCTTCAGGCTAACTTAAACTCATTAAGGCGCTGCTATGGCTTCTATCTCGTCATCCGTATACAACCCAGACTCCTTTAGAGATGCTACAGTAGCAAAGCCTGCATCTATAAAATTCTTTGCTGAGCGAATCTTCTCTTCCATTATGCCCTCAGCCTTGCCAATAACCATGCCTTCAGCCATACCTTCAGCCTTGCCTAAAGCCTTATTCTTTTCAGCAATTCCTTCTCCTAAATTGCACATTTCGTTCACCTTCTCCTCGAATTCCTTAACCATCTGCAAGCCATAATCGTCCTGTAATTTCTTCTTCTTTGATTCTGCTGGGAGGCTGTCAGATTTAGAGGCTTTAGTCGTGGGAGACTCAGACAGGCAATAAATCCTTCATCAGTTTATTCTGATATTCTAAATCCTTAGTAGCTTTCTCAAGGTCTACAAACCTTTTAGCTTCTATCAGGATTTTATTCAGGGCATTAACTTTTTCCTGACCTTCGATTATGCCTTCGATTCTACCACGAGCTTCTACTTTATCTAATACGTCGCACATACTTACCGACTCCTCTCCTGCAAAATCATTCAACAATTCTTCGTAGCGGTTATCACCTGTTAAGATTTTCATTAGTTTCAGGACTTCGTCCTTATGGCGCAACAATTCCTTGTCTGGCTGGTAATCCTTATTTAGACGCTTGCATACCAGATACTCCGCTACATACCTGAAGTCACTCTTGAACAGCTTTACCTGCTCCAATGTCAAGCGTGGAATATCAAACACATTGATACTATAGTCATGAATAAATGGGCGCAGTTCTGCTGGTAACTTATCCATATTCTTGAATGTGTCCATCAAAGATAGCGGCTTCTTCCATTCTTTCTCTCCGAAGTGGAGGACAATGGTTACCACAGGATATCTGGGGTTCTTCTTCCTGTACTTTTTACCATCCTCTGAAGTAACTTCTTCATCCATATTAAGCTGATGCCTGTAGGCAGCCCCATCGTACCCCATGACTCTGAGTGGCATATCAGAATCTATTGCTGACTGGTTCTCCAGCCCCAGCATAAGCAACCTGATATTATTGCCGTCCCAGTACTTGGCTACGTCACGCTCCTGCTCATGAAGCTTGCTATCTATCTTGTATTGTGAGGTCGGCGTTGCATTCATAAGACTCTCTGGCTTGATTACCTGCTTGCCACCAAACACCAACACATTAACGATATCTGCGAAAACGTCATTGTAGGCTTCCAATGTTTTCTCTGCTATGTCTTTTTCTGCCACGGTATCACTTCCTTACATATATTATATCAAATTTTAGCTCGATAGTAAATAAATTAATAACTTCCGATAATTTCACTATGCTTTTTCAGCAGCTCTTTTCTCTCTGACTCTCCGTACCAATGTAGACTTGCTGATTCCAGTCATTTTCTCTACTGCTGTATAACTGTTTCCCTGCTCTAGTAGCTGAAGAGCATGATTAATCTGTGGTCCTACAAATTTTCGCGGCCTTCCTTCATGGAAGCCCTGCTTCATCTTAGCTATCCGTTTTCCTTCCTGAGTGCGCTCAACAATCATATCACGCTCGAATTCTGCGAAAGCTAGCATCATGGTAATCATCAGTTTATTAGCTGGTCTATTGTCTACTGTTCCCATGTTAAGTATATTCACAGCTACCCCTTTATTAATTAGGGATTGAATTGTTGTAACACCTTCAACAGCGGAGCGGGCAAACCTGTCAAGCTTGGTAACAATCAGAGTATCTCCCATCTGCATCCGCTCTACTAACTTTTGAAATTCTGGACGTTTGGTAGTAGTGCCTGTGAAATGCTCCTGAACTATTTCTACAGCTCCTGCTTCCCGAAGTCTCGCAACCTGTTCCTCAAGGCTGTTGCCATTTGAAGCCTGACCCGCGGTAGACACTCTTGCATATCCAAAAATCATACAAAATCCCCCTGTGCTTTTGGCTATTAGTATTGACTATGCTCTATACCCTTATTTTACAGCATTTTGTTTTCAGTGTCAATACTGTTAAGTTATGGCTACAGATAAAGAAAATCTAGATAAAATATAGAAATAATCATTATTATGTGATATAATATACATATTTGTATATAAAGGAGTAATGATATGGGTTTATTTGATAATTGGATTAATGGATACAAACAGGCTTTTTCATCAGCTGTCTCAATAGCTGATAGTTTAAAAAACTACGTTGATGATAAAGACTTTGAAATGTACAGAGAAATCGAAAAAGTAGGCATTCCAGATGCGCTGGTAAACGATCCACTTACTATTAGTAACTATCAAGAAAAAATATTACATTCATTTGCAACAACTTTTGCTAATAAATATCGTGCTAAAAGCGAGTTTGAATTTCTTGAAAGTGTTTTTTTGGCAAGGAGAAATGAATATGTACAATATTTATCTCAAAAATTTAATAGTAGCCCAGTAGAAGTACGCCGAAAACTCAACTCTTGGACTAATGGCACAGGTGTTGGTGCAATGTTTTTACATTTTTATGGTGATGATGATAACTTTAAGGCTATCGCGAGAGTCGTCATTGAAAAAAAATATGGTCGTAATATTAATGATGATCAGTGTTTCTATAATTTTGCGGTAGATATCAGAGAGCGTATGAATAGAAGTGCATCACAGGGGATTTGGTAAACGGTTCATCTTTAGCGCCAGTATTGTACTGGTGCTATTTTTTTCATCGGGAAAACTATTGACTAGACTAGGGGCGTAAAGCTTTAGCGCTGAATTTTTCAAGCTAAAACTTGACAACCTTGAAATTTTGTGCTAGATTAGAGTCTTGTGTTGTGAAATTAATTAAAAGGGATGATACCAATGACTAAGATTGAAAAGTGGCAAGACGAGGTACAGCAGCTGAAGCTCATGATAATGGAAAACGAAAAGACAAACAATCAGCTCAGGACGAAGATTGCTGAATACAACAAGTTGATCTGTAAGGCTGAGTTGGAGCGCGATTATGATGAACGCATGAAATACCTTCGTAGCAAGCTATCTCCAGCAAGCTAAAGTCGGAAGTGTATGGGTTTCCAGTTAGGGAGCCTGTACACTCTTTTTTTGGGCTCTAAAAAATTTTTATTTTCCTTGTAATGTTTTCATTTTCCCTGCGTATAAGAGACAAAAGAAAAACACGAAGGGAGTTGAACATCATGTTACCATGGATCATAATTTTCTAAAATATGACAGTACAAATACATAAACAGAGGACACGCACGAAGTGGAGTTGGTGAGTGTCCTATTTTAGGTTGGCTGAAAGGGCTGTGTCAGCTTTTGCCACGATAAGCCGTACAAATGCGAAAGGTGCATTCATGCTTGGATTTTTTTGTTGATTATCATGTACTGGTTGATTATAATGTACTTGTCTGATGAAGATAATTCCTTTTTTCTTAAAACATAATCGTTCCCTGTGGTTGTATTCAGAAAAACATCCCTATGATTTAGCCTGTGCCTGCGTGGTACAGGTATTTTTTTATGTTCCATTATATGTTAGCGTATTTTATAACAAATGTTGATGAAGTCAGCTAGTATAGGGTATAGTTACCTGCCTGTCGAAATCATCGGCAGGAGCAAAGTCATTTTCTTGGATATGATAATATATCTTTTTGCTTAATTTGCCGTTTTTGTCAGGCAGTGCCAGCTCCACGCGGATAGCTCCGTTCCTGAAAAGATACCTGTAGATAAGTTCGTCCGTATCGCCGTAGTCTTTGATATCGTGGACTGCCCTCAGTCTGTCCCTGCCGAAAGCCGGCTTTACAGGTACCGCAGTGTGAGGGCAGGAAGTTCGCTTTGTCGGGTCTGCCAGTCTGCCGCATTTCTGTAATTTGTAAAGATAGTTTCTGATGTACTCGTTCTGCTTCTGAAGAAAATTCTTGTCGCCCTTGAAATTCTGCTCGTTTATTTTTGTCAGCACATCCTTTATTTCTGCGGCAGCTTCTCCCATACCAGCAACCATATCCATAAATTCTCTTTCACTTTCCATGTACTCCATCATTTCATCTACTATTTTCTGATTATCTCTGATATATGCCTGCTTTTCCTCTGGTGTCAGTACCGAATAAAGGGAAACTAGCTTTGTCTGGGCTGTAACGGATACAATATGGCTGTTCAGGTATTCATACAGCTTTTCTGTGTCGAACCATACTGATTCGCGCATATCCTTTTTCAGCTCTGTACGGGCGCGGTACAGCCAGTTTACATGGTCTTGTTTGTAGCCCTGTGACAGCCTGATGTATGGCACGAATGGGGTAACGTAGGTGTTGACCCATGTCCTGCTGCACTGCAGGAGCTGGCATATGCCCCTTGTGCTGATGGTGTGTGTGTGCTCCAGTGCTTTCAGTATGTCCTTCCATGGTACGGATTCTGCTTCACTCATGATAATCACTCCTGACATTTCCTGTTGCTGTATTTGTTAGTGTATATTATAACATAAGCAGGAAATAAATTCAAGGGGTACAGGTGTGGCTGTTCGGTCACCACGAAGCAAAGCAAAAATTTAAAGTTCTTACTCAGTGAGTACCCTTGATACTACTTTCTGTAAGTTTTCAGCTACAGTCATTATGTATTCACCAATTAACTGTATATCGTCTGGGGTCATATCATTCCAATCCTCTAATCCAACCAGAATATCGCCATAGATAACCTTTGTTATACCATTCACGATAGCAATTCTTGCAACCTTATTCTTATACCCAGGCTTCTGCTCGGCATGATTATCATAAAAAATTGTATATGACTTACCATTTATCTTCTCTGTGAAGTGGTCCACTTCATGTAGACTACAGCCAATAATCTTAGATATCTTTTCTGTTCCATTTGGTATATGTTCCAAGGAGACTACCTTAAAAATTTCACCATTGTATTCATTGCTTTCCAGCTTTATTCCTACCATATTATTCATTTTCTCCCTACGTACTCCAGCGGCTCAAGATGAACACATAAAACATCAATACGAGCCTTAAAATCTTCTGAATCAAGGATGTTTGCAGTCTCTTCGCCGATACCATCAATCTTAAGCAGCTCTTCCTTGAAGTTCTCTCTCATGCTTGCCATGACATAAAAGTTTATATTGTGGTATTTTTCAGCGAGAAGTGTTCCTACTGTGATATCAATGCCTTCAAAAGCCAGAGCTGCAAAGAAGTTTGGCAGCGGTACATTTTTGTTTGCTGCTTCAACAGCTTTTGCTAAGTTTTCCGCAGATTTCTTCCCAAATCCTTCTAACACTGTGAAGTCAAACATCTCTAACGCTGCGTAGACATCTTCTGGCTTAAGTTTTTCTTTTCCATTTCTTCCTAAGAAGTTTATTATCTTCCTGGCAGTCTCGATATTCATGCCCTCAATATTAAGGACTTCCTTACTGCCGATATAGTTAAGCATTTGAGCTAGATTTTCCAAATGTATCACCTCTGCTATTAGTTGTTTTTTTATATACTATAATATGTTTTTTACAATGTCAATAGTGATTTTTTTATGTTGCTATAAAAAAGCTCCTATGCTCGCCTTTTTGAGTTGAAAATATTGTCTCACTGATATATAATATATAGGTAAGTTCAATTTTGAGAATGTGAACTCACTGAGTTCGTAATTAAGCTGACTGTAGCTATAGACGAGAGGGAGATATAGAAATGGCAGATAACGAAAAATTTGCAGCGGTTGGAACGAATATATCAGAAAAGGCAGCTATGATTTGGGCGGTGGCAGATGCTTTGGTAGGCCCATTCAAGGCTCATGAATATGGATTGGTTATTCTGCCTATGACGGTAGTAAAGCGTTTTCACGACTGTCTGTTGCCTACTCATCAGGCTGTGCTTGATACATACGACAAGGTAAAAGGGTTTGCTGTAATAGATGGTTTCTTGACTCAAGCTTCTGGTTATCAGTTCTACAACACAGTAAATTTACATTTGAGTCATTGCTGACTGACCCGGAAAATATAGAGGCTAACTTCAGGGACTATCTAGCTGGATTCTCCGCTAATGCGCAGGATGTATTAGCTAAGTTTGAGTTTGATAACATCATTAAGCGCATGGTAGAAAGCAATACTTTGTATCTTGTTTTCAAGGAATTTGCTTCTCCTAGAGCTATCTGGGGCCAGACAAGATAAGTGCTGTAGACTGCGGCTATATCTTTGAGGATTTGGTTAGAAGATTTTCTGAGTCCTACGGTGAGGAAGCTGGAGCACATTTCACCAGCCGCGATATCATCTACATGATGACCGACCTTCTGCTTTCTGATGCAGACCTTAGTGAAGGCGGCAGTGTAACTGTCTATGATATGACTATGGGTACTTCTCAGATGCTCAGCTGCATGGAAAGAGCGTATTCATGAATTAAACAGCGAGATTGATGTTACCTGCTTCGGTCAGGAGTTTAACCCTTCTACATTTGCGATTGCTAAGGCAGATATGATGATTCGAGGCGGCGACCCAAACAACATGCGATTTGGTGATACTCTGTCTGAGGACCAGTTTGTAGGCTACGAGTTCAAATATATTATCTCTAATCCTCCCTTCGGCATTGACTGGAAGCGTGAACAGAAGGCTGTAGAAAAGGAAGCAAAAGCTGGAGAGATAGGAAGATTTGCTCCAGGACTGCCTAAGATTTCTGACGGTCAGCAATTATTTGTGCTGAATGGTCTATCTAAGCTGGCAACCGATGGTAAGATGGCTATTATCCAGAATGGTTCTCCTCTGTTCTCAGGCGATGCAGGGAGCGGCCCATCTGAAATTCGTCGCTATATCCTTGAAAATGACTGGCTTGATGCTATTGTTCAGCTCAGTACAGATATGTTCATGAATACTGGTATCAGCACTTATATATGGATACTGAATAAGAATAAGCCTGTAGAGCGCGCCGGAAAGGTACAGCTCATTGACGCCTCCCACTGCTATGAGCCTAGAAGAAAGTCTATCGGTACTAAACGTAATGATATTACCGACCTGTGCAGAGAGCTTATTACTAAGGCTTATGGAGAATTTAAGCATGATACTGTTTATGGTGAAAAGGATGGAATCTACTGTCAGAGCAAGATTTTCAATAATGAAGATTTTGGCTACAGCAAGATAGTTGTAGAACGTCCACAGCTGGATGAAGCGGGTAGTCCTATTTTGAAAAAGGGAAAACCAGTGGCAGATACTAGCCTGAGAGATACAGAGAATGTACCTTTGACTGAGGATATAGAGGAATACTTCAAGAGAGAAGTTCTGCCTTATGCCCCTGATGCGTGGATTGACAAGAAGAAGACCAAAGTCGGCTATGAAATCCCTATGACTAGATAGTACTCTGCGTTGATACCACTGCTTCCAGTAGAAGAAATTGCTGCTCGCATACATGAGTTGGAGCTGGATATCCAGAGCAGCCTTGATGAGCTGTTTAACTAAGGAAGGATGATACAGAATGATTTATCCATTTATGACATTGGAAGACGATACAGAAATCACCCATACTGAAATGCTATCTAACGGAGAAGTAAAAGTATATGTTGAGACACCAGACGAAAAGGATTGCTTTCATAGTCTGGTATGCTACTTGCCGTCTTATAGAGTAGAGGATGTGCAGGGATATTCTGATGAAGAAGTTAAAAAATATGTTGAGTTCATAACATCAGCAGCTCATTTAATTATTGAATTTTCTCAAGAAGGTGGATTTAATTATGCCTCAGCTGTTTAAAATTGGCGGTTACTGGATATACTTCTGGTCTGATGAAAGCAAACCATTAGAACCAGTGCATGTTCATGTTGCTGAAGGCAGACCTACAGCTAATGCAACTAAGATATGGATTACTCGTTCAGGCAAGTGCTTAAAGAGCAATAATAATTCTCAAATTCCTGATAGGGTTTTAAATAACATAATGCGCATGATTGAGCTTCGTACAGCATATATTTGCAGTAAGTGGTTAGAGCGTTTTGGCGAAATCAGTTATTATTGCTAAGGGGTGAATGAGTTGGCTAGAGAAATGAAAGACAGCGGTATAGAATGGATTGGGGAAATCCCTGCGGATTGGAAAGTTACTAAAATAAAATATAATGCAATATTAAATCCTTATTGTGATAAATCTAATCTAACACAAGAATCAAAGGTGACATATACACCTATGGAATACATAAAAAAAGGTTATTATATTCCTAACAATGTAGAATTTAAAAAAGTGCCAAATTCATTAACTGAATATCAAGATGGTGATATTGTTATGGCAAAAGTCACACCATGTTTTGAAAATGGAAATATTGCTATAATGAATAATTTATCATCTGGCATTGGATTTGGAAGTTCAGAACTTTTTGTTTATCGAATTAAAAATATTAATAGAAAATTTTTCTTTTACTGGTTGCGTAATAAAGATTTTGTAAATATGGCATGTTCTACAATGACTGGAACTGGGGGATTAAAAAGAGTTAATCCATACTTTATTAAAAATTGTTTTATGCATGTTCCGCCAATCTATGAACAGCAAAAAATCGCTAACCTACTCGATAAGAAATGCTCTCAGATAGATACTGCTCTTGAAAAGACTCGTACCACTATAGAGGAATACAAGAAATATAAGCAGGCTATCATTACTAAGGCTGTCACTAAAGGTATTCGTGGTGATAGACCTATGAAGGATAGCGGTATTGAGTGGATTGGGGAAATTCCTGCGGAGTGGAATAGTATAAATCCTAAAGCATTGTTCACCCAACGAAAGGATAAAGCTCGTGAAGGTGAACGCCAATTAACTGCTAGTCAGAAATATGGTGTTATCTATCAAGATGACTATATGAAAATTACAGGAAATAAAGTGGTAACTGTTGTCAAAGATTTTAGTATATTAAAACATGTAGAAAAGGGCGATTTTGTCATAAGTATGAGAAGCTTTCAAGGGGGATTAGAGTACAGTGAAAATACTGGTTCTATTAGTTCTGCCTATGTTATGCTAATACCTAATAAAGGCAAAGTATATGATAGATATTATAAATGGTTATTCAAATCAGAATTATATATTAATGCCCTACAAAGTACATCAGACTTAGTACGTGATGGGCAAGCCATGAGATACTCTAATTTTATTCAAGTAAGATTATACACTGTGCCTATAATCGAGCAGCAAGAAATAGCTGATTATCTCGACAAGAAATGTGCTGCTATTGACACCCTTATCGCTAAGAAAGAACAGCTTATCACTGACCTAGAAGCCTACAAGAAATCCCTTATATATGAGTATGTGACAGGCAAGAAGGAGGTTTGCTGATATGCGTAAAAAGACTATCCGTATTAGCTGGCAATACCCAATTTTATTAGATGATGTATCTGAATCTAGTTTCAAGGATTGCAAGGGTATATACGCTATTTCCCGTAAATGGGGCGAGAAAACATCAGACGCTCGTGAAGAGAACTTACTATACATTGGTAAAACAGAACGTAATTTTGAGCAACGTATGTTGGAACATCAACAATTCAAGTTAGCAGATACTAGGGGAAACATTTATGTGCGTTTCGGTATTATCAAGAAAGATATTTCATCTGAAATTTTAGATGATATTGAAAGTGCGCTTATATATGAACTGCAACCTAAAATGAATGATTCTAAGATGCAATCTTATCGTTATAAAAGCAATTACTATGTTTATATTATAAATTATGGATTTCGTGGTGTCGGCTTAATCGATAAGGTTATAGATGCTAAAACACATTTGAATGAAGGTGAATAATTTGGCTACGGAAAATACTACAGAAAAATATTTATACTGAAGGCGAATTAGAGCAGTCTTCAACTGTTGTAAATTTTGCAACAGTTGCCAGTAACAACAAAACTTATCAAATAACTTACTGTATTAGTTGAGACAGCAAAGAAGCCAAGGAGTTGATAACATTGGAAACAACCGAAAAGCGTTTTGAAGAAGATATTGAAGCCTCTTTTCTCTCTCCTGCTGGTGGCTACACTCATAATAATGATGCCTACATACCAAAGCTGGGACTGCATCAGGACACACTCATCCGCTTTATTCAAAAAACACAGCCTAAAGAATGGCAGAGATTTTTACTGCAAAATAAACTAGAGCCAGAGAATAAATTTTGTTTGGCGTTCAATAATGCTTGTGATACAGATGGACTCCTGTCTGTACTTCGTAAAGGGTTCAAGCATAGAGGAATTACTTTTAGGGTATGTTATTTCAAGCCTGAGTCTACGCTTAATCAGACGGCAGGTGTACTCTATGCCAAGAACGAAATAACCTGCAACCGTCAGTGGTATTATTCTGCCGACAACAGTAAATCAGTAGATATGGTTATAGCTGTTAATGGTATTCCTGTATTCGCTTTTGAATTAAAGAATCAGTATACAGGGCAGACTATAGAGAATGCCATGCGGCAGTGGATGTATGACCGAAGTGAAAAGGAGCTTTGCTTCCAGTTCAATAAGCGTATTCTTGGTTACTTCTGCGTTGACCAGATGAATGTTATGATGGCGACCAAGTTAGCGGGTAAAGACACTTATTTCCTGCCATTCAATCAGGGTTCCAGCGGTGCTGGCATGGATGGCGGCAAAGGTAATCCAGCTAATCCTAATGGCTATCCTACTTCCTACCTGTGGGAGAATATATTTCAAAAGGATAGCATGATGGATATTCTCCAGAAGTTCATCCATCTGCAGAAGAACAAAGAAAAGAAGATTGACAAAGACGGTAAGGAAAGGCCTATTGAGAAACAGGTATTGATTTTCCCTCGTTTCCATCAGCTTGACGTAGTACGTAAGGTAATAGATGATGTAAAAGAATATGGCACTGGCAAGAATTATCTTGTTCAGCATAGTGCCGGCTCTGGTAAGTCCAACTCTATCGGCTGGCTGTCATATCGTCTTGCGTCTCTCCATGATGAAAACAACAAGGCGATATTCAGCAGTGTCATTGTCGTAACTGACCGTACTGTACTTGATGCACAGCTTCAGGCAACCATTTCAGGCTTTGACCATACTCTCGGAGCTGTTGAGACCATAGGCGAGGGTAAAAAGTCTGTAGACCTGAAGAACGCTATCAATGCTGGGGCTCGTATTATCGTTACTACCCTGCAGAAATTCCCTGTCATTTATGAAGAGGTAGACAAGGTAGCAGGCAGAGCTTTCGCTATTATCGTAGATGAGGCGCATTCCTCACAGACTGGCACATCTGCTCAGAAGCTGAAGATAGCTCTTGCTGACACTTCAGAAGCATTGAAAGAATATGCTGAGCTTGAGGGCAAGGCAGAAGATGAAGTTGACCTCAATGACGCTATCGTGAAAGAAATGCTGACTCATGGCAAGCACAAGAACCTTTCATTCTTTGCCTTTACTGCTACACCAAAGGCGCAGACACTTGAAATGTTTGGTACTGAGGTAACTGGCGGCAGCTTCCATCCTTTCCACGTTTACAGCATGAGACAGGCTATCGAGGAAGGCTTTATTCTGGATGTTCTTCAGAACTATATGACCTATGATACCTGCTTTAAGATTGCAAAGGAGACAAGGGAGAATCCAGAACTGCCTGAGAGCAGGGCAACCAAGATTATAAAGAAGTATGAGAAGTTACATCCTTATAACATCAGCCAGAAATCTGAAATCATTGTAGAGACCTTCCTTAGCACCACCAAAGATAAGATTGGTGGCAAGGGTAAAATGATGGTGGTTACAGACTCGCGCCTTGCTGCGGTCAGATATTTCCATGCGATCAATAAGTACATAAAAGACCATGGCTACAGCAATGTTAAGTGTATGATTGCATTCTCTGGTACTGTTACTGACGATGGGACAGAGTTTACAGAGTCCAGTCTTAATGTACGCCCTGATGGTTCTCATATTTCCGAAGCCCAGACTAAGGCAGAGTTCCACGAGAACTTCAATGTACTCATAGTTGCAGAGAAATATCAGACTGGCTTTGACGAACCACTGCTCCACACTATGATAGTAGATAAAAAGCTGAAGAACGTGAAGGCGGTACAGACTCTTTCCCGTCTTAATAGAACCTGTACAAACAAGAATGATACCTTCATACTTGACTTTGCCAACACCACTGAGGAGATTCAGGAGGCATTCCAGCCTTTCTATCAGGAAACAAGCCTTTCTCAGCCAGTAAACACCGACCTTATCTATCAGGTTCAGCGTGAAATCAGGGGCTATGCACTCTACTCAGAGAATGATATAGAGGCGTTCATAGGTCGCTGGGAGAAACTCAATCAGAGTAATAAGGATGAAATGGGTAAGATGACAAGTGCTTTGAAGCCTGTTGTAGACCGATACAACCTCAAGGGTACAGAGGAGCGTTATCAAATTCGCCGTCATGTCAGGAACTTTGTAAAATGGTATAACTACGTCGCTCAGGTAGTAAGAACCTTTGATGCCGAGCTGCACAAGGAGTACCTGTTCCTGAAGTATCTTGAGAAGCTGATTCCTGCAGACCCAGTTGAACCTATTGATCTCGATGGTAAAATCAAGCTGGAGTATTATAAGCTGAAAAAGACCTTTGAAGGCGAAATTTCACTGGGTAAGACAGGCGGCCAATAAGTACTCTGCGTTGATACCACTGCTT